CCAGTCCCCGCACTCAAGCACGGTACAAATGATTGGCATATTCTATTTTTTAGACTGCTCGCCCGACTGGGAAGCTTGCCTTCCACTGACGTCACGGCACTGAAAAGTGTGGGTATATTTGAATGTTGGTTTTTGCATCATTTTCATTTGCCAATTTCGCAATAACTATTATGAATTTCGCGATACTAAATAGCATACCGGAAAGGGTAAAGGCCGGGGAGTCAGAAAATATAGTTAGTTGAGGTAGCTCAAAAAATCGCCGGAGTACCCCTTTAATGCAGAAACCGAGATTGTCATGCCCTTCTAGCACTCTCTGGCACCAAAATAAAAAAGGACTGCATACAAATCGAGCCACTAGTTAAGAAAATATCAATGGCAGAAACAGTCACGCCTCAAGAAAATGCGTTCCTGAGAAAGAGAGTCTCAAAGTTTGAGGCACGACAATAGTGTCAGAAGGAACCCGCAGCATAGTCTTGTGTGCTGCGTTGCAACCTCCTCTTCTGGCGTGCTTCGGTTTTTGCACTGTGGCGTTTGGTGGCCTTGTGTAAGCGGAGGGTGTCCTTCTCCGAAGCCCGCCGGAGAGCCAAGTGCGCAGGCTGCAGGTTCATGGCACTGGACATCTCTAGGTGTGCCCTAGCATGGCCAGCATTAAACCTGACGACTGCCTCGTGCAGCGCAGTCTGTACCGACACCAGTGAGGCGTGCTGCTCCTTCGGCATCAAGGCCCATAATACAGAGTAGAAACTCTCTGCAGCATTTTGCGACTTGGCTCTCAAGCAGCGTTCAAGAAGCAATGTCTGCGACAGACGCTCATACACAGGCAGCGTGGCCTTAGCAACGTAGTTGGGGAGGCTGCACTTGTGTTTGGGTTGTGGCTGTCCCTTTTCCTCGGCGACCTTGTTCCGGCACCAGGACTCCGGCCTTCCTGGACAAAGGCCGTGTCTTGGGTCTTCATCCGTCAAAGGCACATGGTAATATCTGGCCATCACGGAACACTTCATGGATTCCACATCGTTACTATGGCTTCTGATAGCCCATCCGTAATACCCAGTCAGCCTCTCAATGAGCACCTTTGTGAGGCGGCCCTTTCCTTGAAGAGGCTTGTCGCTCTTCTGCAAGAGCTTCCGCAGAGCAGTCCCCATACGTTTTTGTACATGGTTGAGGCACTCCTCTTTCTTTATGGAAAGAAACCCGTAGGTCTTGTCTTCAGCTAGAGCACAGAAAGTTCTGCTGTCCCCGTCAGATATTAGTGTCGTGTAGCGCAAGTCATGTTTCTCCAGAGAGCGCCCTAAAATGGCGAGTGCCACGTCGACCTCCATTCTTCCCAATTGCGTCGGTGTTTTTCTGGCACTCCTGGTTCTGATGCCACTCAGGGTACCTCTCCTCTCCCGGCTTGGGTCCAGTCTGGCAGCCGTGACACAGATTGGAGAGAACCTCAGCATCTAGGATGAGGCCAGTGTCATACTCAATCACGCTCCCGACACCAACATGGGAGCTGTAGCCTCTCTTGAGCCATGTGCCGTCGTAGAAGACAACAACATCCTTGGTGAAGATGGGGTTCATTTCCCTGTATGTGCTTTTCACAGCAGCGGCTGACTCAGTGTAGATCTTCTCAGCAGTAGCTGCAGCCGACTTACTAACAATGTTTTTCAAATGATCTTGGTAGGTCTTGTGGTGGAGCCCTCTATGTGATACATTCATCACTGCCCAAAAATCATTCAGGGCAGTCTGACCCTTGCCAAAATAAATGAAATAAATGAAATGCTCCTGATTGCCGAAATCACTCTCAAATTCACATCAAATGCGTTGGAGTCGACCTTGCACGGGGATGACCAGGTGTGAGTCACAACTTCGCAGACAGGGCACACAAGTTCAAGCTTGACGGCAAGTCCCAGAGCGGTCGATTCCTGGATTGTTATGCCCGTCGCCGAACAACTTTGGCAGACTGTGTAGCCAAGAAGCTCATTTATAGCGTCAAGCTCACAATCGTGAACTTCGCCGATGAGCTTGTCACGATAGCGGGGGCTTGCTGAAGCAGCTCAAACTTCCTTTGCGTCGCGGACGCGGAGGCAAGCTTCGCACAGACGGCATCGCGATGTTCGGTTGTCGCATCAGCTTCCTCCTGGGATACGTACAGCGTCTCTAGATGAACAGTCCTGTTCTCCATCGTGATTCCAGACGCACAAAAAACAATGTTTCCTTCGGCGGCGGCAGTCGATGAACACGCAGGCACGGTGATCTCGGGCTCACTACTCGTGGTGATCGTCGGGTCGAGGCTCGATTTCACCGCTCTGACTTGCTTCATCCGGCGCTTACACGCTCCATACGCATATCGGGTCTTGCTCTTATACTTGCTCCTCCACATCGCAGAAAAAGAAGCATGAAAAATACGCGACGCGATAGAAAAATGTAAACAAAGGTGACGAGAGCAATGGAGGAAACTTGCGTATAGCAGACGACAAAAAGCGGAGCGGACAAGGAGGAACGCCGGAGAGACCGAGCGCGGAGAAAGAGAACGAGCGAGCGGGAGAGGAGGAACTTGCTCGGAACTGTTTGAAGCCTCTCCGTGCCAATAGTACAGCCCGATTTTCCGACTGCGCATCGGCCAATCACGGCGCCGCGCTCCTTTGGCGGGAAACCTCACGAAACAGCGTTGCCTCGAGCGTGACACCAGTTTGAAAGGTTGCGAAAGAGAGAGCAAGAATTCACCTACAAAACAAGACCAAGAGGGCTGCCGTCCGGTAAACGGTTCGGAAACTCGGCGCGCGTGAATCTGAACTCGATTTGGTTGATTGATCGGCATTTTGCGACCGCGGAAGCATCGAAAATGCATTATTACAGGTATTTACTTGGCGTTTTGAGCTTCAATATGTACAGCAGAGATAGAGAAAGGCATGAACAATCCAAATATCCAATTTTTGAAAATGTGATTTTTTTCGCAATTTTTTGTTTTTCAAGACCCTTTTGCGAAAGGTCCCAGGAGGCGACCTTGCCCTTCCAAACCGACCGGCACGGGTGAACGCCCTGAAGCATTGTCGCCAGGTGGCTATGGTCAGCTGCACCGGAGACAGAGCGAGAGCGCCTTCAAGTCACCAATGCACCTTGGTTTGCGGGGACGACATGACCTTCTCCGAAGGATCATCGGGTTGACCCACGCCAGTGGCATCTGGCGGACTTTGCCATCCGGTCCCTCTCCTTGCTTCTTCGGCCTGACCTCGACGCAAGGCGACCCAACAGCCTTGGGACGTCCTCGACAAAGGAGGGGGCTTTACTCAATTTCCCCGGCTCAGATCGCAGATGGGATTATCCCCTAACACACGGAAGTCCGGATGCCTGCAATTATAGATGTCTTCCGCCTTCTTCGACTTCGATGGCACCATTGTCCGCCGAGATTGACCGGCGACACCGCAGCCAAGATGTTTGGCCCTTCCGTGTGTGTGTCGCGTGTGGCAGTGCGAGGGAGAGGGAAGAGGCATGCCTGGCTGTTACGAATAATGAACTCTGGGGATTCCCTACTAGGGATGTAAGGAAAGGGGACCTTATAAAATGAGCAGCAGGTGGCTGCTACTGTGTGTTCTCTAGTGTTCTCAACTGTTCTCTTGACAGTGTTTTCGACAGTGTTCTCGAGCGCTCTCAAGCACTCTCCCGTCAAATGATGTAACCTGTTCATATGTATACATAAAGAGTTATATTATTTAAGAGACACCCCTCCTGCTCCCTGGTCCTTCGCGAGTCCGGCCTCTACATGAGTTCCTGCCCTGGCTCGGTTCCCTGCCGTACCCAAAGTGCCCGGACAACCACGCGGTCCCAACAACCCGCGTCCTCCCTTAAAGCAAAAATTCTTAGAAATTTTTTGTTTTGTTTTGAGCGCTGGACAAACGAAGGGCACTATGTGCTGTGTTGTGACGGAACTCGCTTTTTGTGTTTTTATTGCTGAGACATCCCACAAGTGTACAGTGTTGTAGGCGTTGCCGAGCAATTACGAAAAGAACGCTTGCCCCCGTTTTACAGGTTCCCGACGTGCAAGATTTTTGTCAAAAGTAAGAAAATGCGAAACAATGAATTGCAAGAGTCCCGGCTGGAGCCTGTGTCGTGCAATCATGTTCACATGCACGTGAGGGCAACATCAGCAGACTTGCAGTGGTACATGCTTTGTCGCGCAAGCGGAGGCAGCGGCTGTTCAATCGAAATCGAAACAATGCTACTCCACTCTGTTGCCAACTGGTTCCCAAAATAGTATGGAAAATGTAACTGTCCAGCATACGACAAAACAACACTCCAGCGGCGCATGCTTGCCAAACCAGCAAAAGAGGTACAAGCTAAACACACAGAAAAAAAGAACCTGAGCGCATCGATGCATGAAATCGCGAGCCAGGGTCAAAAATTTCTTGCAGCGCTTTGTGCAACGACTGAACTCGAGACAAACAAGCGCAATGTGCGGGTTTAGCGTGCAGTCATTGCCTTCTTTGCTTTAGCTCACTTCTCTTCACCAACTTTCTTTTGCAGCAAATTTTTCACATACCGAGGTCCCTCTCGAAAGGAAGCCCACCGAGAGAAACCTACGTAATGATTATTTTGACAAGCAGTCTTTGAATTAAAGGGACAGTTCAACGAAATTTGAAAAACACCCGTCGTGTTCAGAAATAGGTTGAATATGATCCACAATATCCGTAAATGATAATTGCACGTTTGCATTTTGAGCCTGATCGCTGTATTTTTTGTTATAAACGGCCCACTCTGGCAAGATAACACTGGAATGTCATCTAGATAAAAAAGGAAATTTACCTAAAGACAATTTCTGAACAATATAGTTTTTTCTTGTTGGTGGTTGGCCTGGTAACTAAACAGTTGAATGCTACTACACTGAAGAGGGGTGGTAGGGCCTACTGAACGGATAGAAATAATCATAGATAAGCAAGAGTGGGAAGATTCCTAGGTTTTTGTTCTAGATGACCCCAGACAACGAGAGACGTCCAAAGAAAGACAGAAGACGAGCCCACCTGGGCAGCCAAGGCGTCAAGGCCCATGGCGGTTTCTGCGACATCGGCACCAAAGAGTTCCTCGGCAGTGCCCGTTGTCTGGATGTAGGCAGTGGTGCCGTCTTCCAGCTGCACCGCTTGGAGGCCTTCTGCACAGTGCATCCAAGCATTTTAGTCCCCCGCCTCGGCACCCGCCTCCACTGCATATTCCATAAGTGGCCAGACGCACCCATCATAACTGAATTTTGTGAACTCGCACATACCCGTACACTCCATCAGAAAAACCTAAACACCAACAAAAAAAATTTTTTTTTTCCAGCTGTGTTGAGATAAGACAAGTCACAAAACAAACTTTCCCCAGAAACAAAGAAAAAATTATAGTACAATATTTATTTGCGATGAATATTTGATCACTAAATAATTTTCAGTCATTCACTGTGCTTTCAAAACTTTCCTCTGTATTTTGACCATTTTTATTGTATATATTTGTGCATTGCAATTCATTACTATTTATTTCTGTATGAGTTAATATATAATCTATCCATCCAGTTCATTTTCCAGCAAATATTCACCCAATATGCTGCATAACCTGCACCATCCCACATATTATATTTTCGACCTGAACCACCTCCTGTATGTATGCTTCATAAGAAGAGAAAACTCACCACCCTACTAAAGTTCATAAACACTGCACAGTGAAGTTGCAACCGCCCGACGCCATATCTATCCCCTTAAGGGCTGTCCAAACAGAACACTTCAGAAACCGTTAGGCGACACAGCTCCGTCAAAAGTCGTGGAAGTTGAAGTGGTTGAAGTTCGACAGTCCAATTTCTGTTTGGAAACCACCTAGACCAACATCACCACTTTCCTCCTCGCCTCCTCCGCTTTTCTATGACCTCGGTGGTCGTCAGAATCGACATCGCACGCCACCTTCCAATGGTGTGCCTGTTGCCCACACATCTGTTTTGCCACGCACTCATATCCTCTCTTTTCCCGTTTTCGGGACTTGAACAGCGCCGGAGGCCTTGAGCGATTGACCGACAGCCAACAAAGCGTGTGACTAGCTGTCCAGACCCGTGTGATAAGCACAAGCAAACTTTAACAAAAAAAACCATCCCCCCCCCCCCCCCCCCCCCCCCAATAAAAAAGAACAAAAAAAAACGGGCGAAAGCGGAGCACCGCACGACATATGATAAAGTTGCGTCGCTTCACGATTTGTGACATGTCCTGTTGAGAGAGGCTTTTATTCTTGACCCACAGTTGATGGTTAGCAAAAATAGAAGTGAATGATTGAAATAAAAAAAAATATGAGAAAACAAAAGTATATGAAACTTGCAGAGGCAATCTGTAGTCACTATGCCTTGCATGCTTTAGAAGAGTAAAAATAGTAGAGGCATTTCAGTGACTGGTGTTCAACATGGCGTTTCCAGTAGAGGTGAGGAGATATCAAAATCTTTCAAAGCAAATCGAATAGCAAAGGTTACGAATCAAATCAAATATTTTCGAATATGAATATAGTTTTATGTATACGTAAAGCTTTTCAAATATAATTTTTCATTTTAACCCAACTGCAATTTTTTTTTTTAGGAAGCATAATTATGAAAAGTTAACTTCATGGCAATAAGAAAAATGTCATACGTGTGACTGATAAAAAAAAAAGAAAATAAAAGGTCAGTCAGTGAAACTACATTCAAGGAATGAAGTTACAGAATGTTATTTTTATATATGTAAGAAATGGAAGTTCTTCAACATGTTCTGGAAGTAGTGATGCCCTCCTGCCGGTGACGATTCCTCCAGATACTGAAAAGAGCCGCTCGCTATACACACTTGTGGCCGGTATGGCTATAGGTACCTTCTTGCAAGTCGAGCAAACGGCTGTGGTACCCTTCTGACGCCACCACTTGCAGGGATCGTCTTCCCGGGCCAGGACTAACTCGTGCAAGCAGCTCACAATCTCTTCTTCAGCTGGTGGCATTGAATGTGGCTTTTGTTTAATGAGGCTATCGAAGTTTTGCCACAGCACTGAGGTCCAAGGAACTTCAGGGGACGTTGAAGCTGAGGACACCTCTGCACTTCTCTGTCTCTCAACTACCAGGTTCTTCAGCCAGCTCCCCACTGACCTGTCCTGTTTGTAGACCACTGCTTCGAAACCTGGGTCTAGGAGCATTGCCAAGCTTGCTACCTGGTCAAATTTGTAGTCGGGAAATCTTTCCTCGAGGCACTTGGCCAGGTTAGCTGAGAATGAGGAAGCCACCGTCTGCTGGCTGATAGGGCTGTTCGGGCATGCAAGGATGCAATATAGGATGGGCATCTGGGCTCACAATATTGGGTAGCTGTCAGCTCCAGCATTGGTCGTTGCTTCTAGTAGTTTCAAAGCAGCACCGTAATCACTCATTTCCCTCCATTCTGTTTCGGTAAAGCCTTAAATAGGCCCAGATTCAGACGCGAGGTCAACAGTTACTGCTTCTCAAGTCCAAAAGCCTGGACCGCATTGCCAATTTCCTATTCCACCGTGTTTCGACAACCTGAATGACGTCCAGTGGGGAACTGTCCGTTTCCTTCTGAGAGCAGCTGCGCCTTCCCCGTGCTTTTGGGCTATGTTTATAGTGCCCAACAATGCCCTTTGCTGTTTTACAAAGCAGAGAAATTCCTGGAGTCATCTCATTTGTGTCACTGATGACCAGTTGTAAGGTACGAGCAACACAAGTTCTTTCACACTGAGGAAGTGTGTGAGCGGCAGCTCTGATGTTGCGAGCATTGGCAGTCACCAAGTAAAAAGGGCAAACGTCGTTGGGAATGTCCCAGTCTGTGACAAGCGTATTAATAATTGAGGCAATTCTAGCTGCTGTGGGCTTGCCTGGGAAGTGACAGGCGCTCAAGTTGTATGAGTCCAGGGAGTGGCAGGTCAGACTGATGGAGCTTTTGTTTGACCTGGACGTCCACATGTCAGAGCTGAACAAGGGATACTCCGTGCCCCTCTCGAATGCATTCTGTAGCTCCAGTCGAACCCCCTTCCCGGTGTCGTTGCACAACCTCGGCACTAACGCGCAAGAGCGTTATTCTCGATGGTGGCAGAAAACCTGGGACTGCATCCTTCAACAAATCCTGGAATTCCAGTTTTGCACAATTGTGTAAGGTTGCAGGTCGAGTTAAACCATCTTAGGAATCTTCAAGTACAAAACCTCCCCTTTTGCTGGTGGCAGAGTCATTTTTCTTCTCAACACATCAGCCATGCTTGGCTGATTAGCGGGCTTTACTTTAGCAGTTGCTTGAAACTCCGCATAAAGATTGGAGTGCCATTTGAAATGGTTCACGAGAATAGTGGTCGTGCCCGATGGGGTTAACAGTGAGCTTTCGCAAAGGCTGCACACAGCATCATCTTGGGAAACTTTTCAGAAATAGGGTCATATGTTGCGATTGCAGGAGGGTGCATATACTCTGCCGTGGTGGTTGAAACTTCGATGACTCCTGTCGTAGTTCCATCAGGCACCAGCAGACGCAGGCAAACACAACCAAGCAAATGAAAGTACATACCATGCTGCACCCATGACACGCCTACAACTGACTTATAACTATTTAGAACAGATTTGTGCGAATGCTAGCCTTGATATTTTTGATGAAAAGCTTAAATTTCAAAAGTGTGTTGAGGCTATTGTTTTTTCCTAAAGTTTTGCTTTTATCCTGTTTAACCTTTTTCTACTCAATGACTCATTGATAAGTGCACCACTAAGGAGGCATTAAGCTGTTGGTGGGTCACTGAAAATAAGAATAAATAAATAAATAAGCAGTGGCAGGTCGGCAAGCCACCAAGGAGTCGGAGATCGTGCCATGCAGCTGGACTGACCCTGCACAATCTTTCTTTCCCTACGAAATCGTTCTGCCAAGAGAGAGCACCACAAAGAAGCTATAAATTAACAATGCGGCTTCCTTTGGGCTGAGGGAGCAAGTCTGGCACTTTTACCAGGGAAAATGGGTAGAGATAACAAGAGGAATACTGAAAAACTGATGAACCTGAAGTCAAGCGGAAAATAACATCCGTGGCTAGATCCATCACAACAACGACGGTAACAGATATTTCCGTTAGCCGAGGTCAGTCGTAAATCTGTATCCAAATTCATAGCACCTTGGCTACCGCTGCGACTGTAATCTGTGGCATTTGCAGTCACAACGATGCACGTGCCGTTGTATATCGTGATCCTTCATCAAACCTATTTTTACAGCAATAACTCCGGTCATGTTTGCGTCACGACCACTCAGCCAACTCCGCAATCCAGACATCGTGTCAAGTGGCGAAGGACAGATTGCGCCGCCGTGTGCAAGTAACTTTCCAGTACTTCATAGAAAAAAATTCCGAGGACACCTAAGCACTTCTGTTGAGGTCTGAACGCGAAAGCATGGATGACGTTCTTCCACTCGTTTAGTTCATCTGCGGTGTACTGGCGTGGATGGCCACGTTTCGGTACTGCCGAGGTTGCGGCCGCCGCCGACGTAGATGTCTCAAGTGACGCCATGTTCCTCGGCGTCGAGAGGTCTGCACGGCTGACTCACTAGAACCAGCTTCTCAGCTAAGACTGGGGGAAAGAAAGCACTGCCAAAGCCAGTGCACGAGCTGAGCGGGACACTTGCCACATCTCAAAATGCTCACGCACCCCAGACTTAATAGTACTTTCTTTCACCCAGTCGCATCAACACCTTACATGAGTGCTGAGTGTGCGCTGTCGTGAAGTGGCCGCCATGCCTATCTAGGAGCCGTTTTGCTCAGCCAATGGCAGAGTGGGCATTTCTTTGACGGTCACAGATGCCACTGGCTCTGCTCCATGGGATAGTTGATGCAGTACGGTGAAGACTTGGGCGAGTCGGTTTTGCAGAGTTAATGCTTTCGCATTAAAAAAAAAAAGGCACTTAGGTTGGCCGTTTGGGTTTGCCAAGCTCAATACCATACTGCACAGTCCAAAAACAAACTGGGAACGCAACCGCGAGTTGAGTGAGTTCCGCATTAGACGTAGTTGTCAAATATTCAAAGAGCTTGAATACTTCGAACAGTAAAAGAGTGAAACGAATCGAATCAAATAGCAAACATTATTCGTGAAGTAATCAAAGTTCTGAACATTCGCACGCCACTCATCCAGAAATGTGATGATATAAGAACAAAAAATTGATGATAAGGAGAATAATAGAGGCTATCCATCGGTAAACAATAAAGCACTGGAGCAATTTAAAAATTTTAGTGAGAACACCCCCCCCCGCCCCCTTTCTTTCCAGTAACCGCTATTGTATGATTCCTTACAAAAGAAAAAAATTATGACAATTTGACAGATTCCGCATGGCACCTTCAAAAACTGAAAACATTTTTTGGAAAACTTTTAAAAACTACTTTCTAAAAAAAAATTTATATTTTTTTTCTACATTGGCAAGGACACAATAACGACAACAATATTTAATTGGTCATTATAAACGGCTGTGGCAGCGACACAAGCAAGCAATCTGCAAGGTTGTCTAACCGTTTGCTGTTTTTTACCTGGGGAGAAGCTATTCGTTTGAGAAAGCTTTTACCCTCATTTTTGGTAGGTCAGCTTCTCCCTAGGTGATATTCCCCCTAGGGAGTAATTATCCCTCAGGGAAAGCTTCCCCAAGGGCGCAGCTTTCCCTAAAAAAAAAAAGATTTTTCTAGAAAGAAATCAAAACCACCAAAAATTATAGTAAAATCTTCCTCCGGGAAAGTTTTTGTAGATAATTCTGCACTATCATGGTACTCAGGGGCTTGTACCAGAGGCTTGTACCAGAGGCACCCAAGAACCATAACAGTGCCGAGTTTCCTCAGGGTTAAGACAAAAAAAACAACCTAAAAGACAATGTCTGCACCCATAAATGTTTCCACCACTTGAACCATGCAGTGCCGCCTAACTTGCATCAGCATCGCAGCTAGCGATGGTGATGCGGTGGCAACGCCAAGATGGACGGCCATCTCGTCGAACTTCGGCGTATTTTCTGCGTTGGGTGGGTCGGGTGTCCACTACAGCCGAATCTTGTTCGTTCAAACTCGAGGGGGACAGAACATTTGTTTTAATAAAGCAAAGTTTGAATTATCATGAGTTTCCTCCCATAGAGATGCATAGGATGGGACCACCACCTTGAATTAAGAGGACTTGAATTAATGAGATTCAACTGTAGTAATCACGTCATGCACAGGATTCGTCTGCTAGGTGGAGGAAACCGAAGCAGGCAGAGAGGCCAGTCACGCACCCAGGGACTCCCGAGTGCTGGAGTGGATGTAGGCCGTGGTCCCGTCCTCCAGGGTCAGGGCGTGGGTGGTCCCCAGCAGCTTGGGGTCAAAGCCCTGCAGGTACGCCGTCGACCCGTCTTCCAGCTTCACCCCGAGTCCGCACGTGTCCACGTCCTGGGTGAGACAAGGAACGGACAGTTGGGTCGGTTCAGGGAACGCTCGGTCGGCAAGAAGTTGGACCGTGGGTCCTCGAACTGCGTTCTTGCGATCCCTGGGATTCCCCGGCGTTCCTCGACCTCCCCCTCGATCGTCCCTGCCCCTGAGTAAAGTGGTCTTCCAGTTTGAGCTCTACCCTTGTAGATCCGAGCCAATCACTAACGCATAACTGTGCACCAACTGCTTCCCAGTGTGTGCATTACGGACCTTTTTTGAGAATGAGCACCTTCTGGAGAATCGGCTGTGAACTACAAATGAAGGGCGGGATCGTCGTAATACGTTGGTGTTGTGCCACTGCATCGGTTTTTGTAGCTCTTTGCACCGCGGGAACAAAAGCATTCGGAACAAAATAGACACGTGACCTATTTCTTCCAAACGCATTTCTTTCTTTCTTGTTCCGGAGCATGCAAAAGCGCATCTCCCAGCACGAGCTCTTGGCATTGACCGTGCTAAAACGGCTTTTTTTTTTTTTTTTTCTAGAGAGTGCTTGCAGTGGGCACTGGGCACTACAAAAACTCCAAAGTATACAGTGGGTCGTTAACGCTACGGCGTAACTCAGTGGTAACGCCTTCATTCAACACGCAGCGGACCCAACTTCGATTCCCGCGGGCGGCGAGCAATCCTTTTAGAGGATTTGGAAACATTGACGACGGATGCCCCGCAACGTCAACTACAACATCAACGACGGACGTCACTTCCAGCGGTGAAAAAGGCCCATAACAGCATTGCTGTAAAAAGGTCTATTGCAATGGTTGGGCTTCTTGCCCAACCAGACTTGTGGTTGAGCTTTCTGGTGCATGAAGGCTGGCTCACACATTTCCCACTGCTTACGGCCGAGTCCCTTAAAAGATTTTAGGGTCCCTCATTTTAAGAGAACACACTAGCGCAATTCATCGGGTAGTCGTGGAACACTCCGCATTTACGTATATTTCCTGTCTTTTCTGCGCATAATTTTTTCTTTCTTGGCTCGAAAAACTTTCGACAATGTTATAAATGACTGTCTCACATAGACACTAACTTTCATTAATTCAAATTTCAGGAAGCCAAACTTTTGTTTGAATGGCAACCCATAAAAGGCACATATTTGACGATTTCCTCTATATACTCATCATAAGCAGGCATGCCACACAAGAAACATCTGTGAAATGTGCGGCATAAGTTCTTTATCCCTCAAAAATGTTGTTTATCGTGAATTGTTTAGACAGCCCATGACAACACAAAACAAAATTAAGTTTGTTCATCAAGCCAAGAAAATCATGAGCATTTCCACTCTGTGAAGGATGACATGCAAAGCTGTTTAGCACACTACAGAGTTTTTTTAATGCGGAAGCATTAACTGTCTCATGGAGCGAGCTGACGTCATCAGTTGGAAGCGCGAAAACGACCAACAGTTTCCGCGCGCCTTCGGTTCCATTGATTGGCGAGTGTCGACGGGGCTCCCATTGGCCGCTGCGTTATGGCCTCCGAGATTTCCAAGCGCGCGCACGCTGGTACGCAGCAGACGACAAAGGGAGCGGACAAGCAGACGACAAAGGGAGCGGACGAGCCGCTTGCATGCTTTCACATTCAGATCTCACAAGAAATGCTTAGGTTTTTTAAATCAGTGATAAGAATATGCTAGAGTAATATGAAGCACAAATTTGTTTGCGTCTTGCGCAAGGCTTGCGGTTGCGTCAGAGCGCGGAGTTCTGATCTGCTCTCATTGGAAGGATAGTGGGTAGACCTCAATGCTGGCTTCTTTGAGGTGTAGCCACTATCCTTCCAATCGGAGCCAATCAGAGATCGGCGTTCTGACATCACCGCAGCCCCTGTGCAAGAAGCAGACGAACTTGCATTCCGCATTGGTCTTAGATGATGAACATGGCTATTAGTACAAACTGTTACTTAAGTCCTGCAATGTGTATGCGATGGGTTTCACAACAAGGCCGTCTTACCGAAGCAAGAAAGATAACGCACTGCCCGTAACCAAAAATATGTTGCAAAAGCTTCAGCATAAAAAATGGTCCTCTCGAAGGGAGTGAGCCTAAAATGGAGTATTCATCCTAGGGACGGTGCCTGGAATTAGTCCCCAATCGGCGCGTTTTGCGTCCCGTACGGCTTGTGCACCGAATGTGTAGCGTCTACAAATTACGTCGCAGGAGCGAATGTGCCATTCTGTCGGATGTCGCGATACTGGTGGTTTTGGTTGTAAAAAGGATCCCGAAGGTGGGTCGTAAAAATTTAGACAAAAATGTACGGTCAAAGTTGATTGTCCCCGTTGTCGTGGTACCACAACTCCCGGCTGCCGAAGCCTCCGTGAACCGTCAAGCTGGAAAGCGACCTCCAGCAGAACGGCCCTCTGCCGAATTTACTTCCGCTACTATGCGAATGCCAGGATTGTATGCCGTGTCCAGTGTTGGCACCTCAAAAATCAAGAACCCCCTAAAAAAATCCCGGAAAACTGCTACTATTAAGGCGCGGGCCGAAGGACGACCGCTCAGGCGCTATGTTTCGACATTTGCCCCGACGAGCTTGGTTCGGCCCGACAATACCTCGATGGTATCACGAGCCTTATTCTCACTGGCAACGACTTGAGAGTAAGCAAAAATAACAAACCCACGACTTTGACTCGCCGCGGAAATTAAGCTATTCACGGTTGACGAGTGTAAACTTGAGAACATTTTAGAGCATCAGAAAACACGCCAATGTGACTGCTCCAAATCCCAACAACCACAAAATGGTAATTTCTCCAACTAGACAACTAAAAAAAGGATAAATTTTGTAAGAAAATCATTAAATTGGTAACACTGGTCATGTGACCGGGCAGAAATCGAGGGACCACCAGCGAGGACGCAGTAAACGCATCAGTGGGAGACGCGTCCCCGACAGCTCCCAGGGAAGAAAGAAGCACACCTGAGAGAGTCCGAGGGTGGCCACTGCCGAAGCCACTTCGGCTCCTTCCGGCTCGCAAGAGACGTCTTGGCTCGAGCCGTCTTCGTTCACCACCACGCCATTCTCCTCAGAACCTTCCTCCTGTCCAGAAGCAAGAACGGATTGCTGTGATCTATCTAAAGTCAAGCGCTCTTCAGAAGCTCGCCAGCATGCTGCCCCAGACTGCCAGGCCTCCAGCATGCTACCCCAGGAGGCTACCAGAAAAGACCCCACATTTTTTGCTTCGTAAAAATGTTTTTGCAATGTCTTCCTTACCCTGAATCAGTGTGCGACTAGGCATTACAAAAGAAAGAGAAACCCGTGGTGCTATGCTCTTAGATGCAAACATTTTCAAGCTAAAGCTCGGGATCTCCCAAAACCAGGAACCTCTATCAACAAAAAATCCGTATAATTTTCCTTTGTGGAGAATCTTCATTGGAGGAACGAGCGCACTGTTCTATGAAGAAAGTATACGTATGATTGTACGCAATCTGAACTGCAGGGTCAGAGTCGGATTCCCTAACTTTGCAAAATACTTAAACGACATCCACACTTTCTACATTTTGCTCAAGACAGACCTTGTCCAAGTTCAAGTGGCTTACGAGACCAAATTCTTTGATAAGCTGATCCCCAAACATATAACACGTTGTAGGATGCATTTCCAGAGAACAACTTCAATAAGTTTCACGCTGGCCTTCCTGAATCAAACTTTTAAAATCTATGAAAGTTCACAGCAGCTTTTATTGCAGTGTCCCTTATATGTACTTCGGCAAAAATGTTTGTTTTCGTTAGACGGTGACCGTAAAGTCAATTGTGTGTTTGCAAATGACCAATACCACCTTTAAAAAGTTTTATGTCTCTCAGTCAGTGGCTTCAATGTGAATATTTGTGTTTTGGCGAGCAATATTGAATACCAAAACTCCTACTGATAGGGCTCAGCAATCTTTATGCATGCCTAAATCAAGAAAACATTTTGCACGTCATCTTGGGAGAGTTTTATTTGAATAATTTGCCCCCATCCCTCTTTCCACCCCCCCCCCCCTCCCCCCACTTTTCCAGCTTTTGATCCGGCCCACTGCAGCAAAAACTTGCCGACCCCTCCCCTAAAACTCTTACGAAACCTGGGGCTTTAATAGAGTTTAGTTTTTTAAGTCAAAACTTATCCCATGTTTCATCGTCATTTGGGGTTCCTTAAAAATTCAGGCTTAAAAGAGCCTATCGTAAAATCCTAATCAGGCACCCACTCAAAATTTGGACATAACTGTGTAAAACTACGGGATTAGCGCTCCTTAGGTCAAAAATATGCAAAGATATGTCCTTTGTGTATTTTCCAAATGTTCCCAAATTGAGGGGTGGACGCCTATTGTAAAGTGGGCAGATGCTCGGTATTTTATGGTAGGTCCTTTAGAATGAAACTTTCCTATGCTTTGTCATTCCTAAAAAAAATATTTAAAAACTTGGGCTTAAAAGAGCCCAGGTCTTTGAAAAAAGCATGGAACTTACAAACTACATTCTTTAAGTGCTTACATATGACATGCATGCCACAAAATAAACTTATAAATATAAAAAAATGTAAACAAAACAAACATGGCTGAACTTCCGGGTGGAGTATGTTGCTTCAGGCTGGCATATACATGCTCCGTGGTGCTTGGGTAGTTTAGCGAAATGCCCATAGACCATTCCAGAAAAGCACTTCTGGTCATTGCCATTTTCAATGGTTGTATGTGTGGCGCATACTTTGGCCACCTTGCGAAGCGACGAACATGCGTGTGCTGGGCACATGTGGCTGGGCACCTGACACATGTGGACTGATTCCCGCAAACATTGAAATCCTCGAACTGCACTCGTGTATGCCAGGTAGTGGTAAGGAGGTACTGTTCGTGAACATAGCACAAACATGAAAATAAAAAAAACTCCGCAATCACCAAGCTAAACATCATCAAAGTGAAATGGTGGGTATATAAAATGCACAAATGCACTATCCAACTTCAAACGAAGTTGCTTGAAGGTGCCATTGTATGTAAAGAGAGGATTGCATAATAAAACTGCAAGTTCTAAATAAGGTGACAAAATGTAAACCAAGGAAACATTCATACAAATTTTTTTTCTATATTGCCCGAGTAGAATGCAACGCATCCAACTACTCATTCACGACTGCAGATGGGAAACAGGGACAATTCTGTGCAAGAGTTTTTTTGTTTTTTTTTCTCGTTAATTTAAGGTTTTGCACAGCCCCCATCAGCAGTAAACTTATGTGACTTTCCTCAACATTTATATTTTTCATAGTCTTACTCATTTTTCATCCCTATTTAACATTTTCCTGCGAAAGAATAAAACAGGTTTTTTGATTACTACTTCTGTGAGAGAAAATTGCATGCCAGCCATCTGACAAACATCCTAGGCTACAGTTGTACCATATATCGTAACTCAACACCTGCTTTTTACGGCTTTCCGGGTCGCCCGTCCGCCCTTCCACCACTGACATACGTGGATTGAGAAAAGTAGGGATCTTTCAATGTTGCCGGCACAGCAATAATTCTCAAGTATGGGCTCGCGAATCCTCTGGGGTCCCTGGAGGCCTTCTTGGGATCGCCGAAGCCCTCGACTATTAGTCGAGTCGAGCGATAAAACCTTTTTTTTAAGTGATGCTGGCTGTCCCACAAAGCCAAACAGACCAAACCATGTATACCAAGTCAGTAGGGTTGGTTATTCTCTATTTCGGAGCTTCAAAGTTGGTTTGCACGCATTTAGTTTTCAGTTTACCCCTTTGTCATCGTAGCCATCTAGTACCCTCTCCCACCTGGTGGACGGAGTTCCCCATCACTTCTGTTAATCTAGATTTGGTCCCCGAAACATCAGTAATCGAGAACAACCGCAGTAAAGAGTCGCCTCCCGGAACTTACGCGGCCGGCGTAATTCGGGAATTCAATAACTAAGCCGAAAAATATGATCTTTAAAATACATTTTGGCTAGCAGCTCGGAAAGGGCAACTGATGTGGTGTGCGGATTTCCAGCCAAATCGAAAACTATCGATGAATCGGTGGATTTGCTGCTTGGCGGCAAACACTTGCACTAATGGCGACGTCAGGCACAAGCCTCGTCTTCTAGGTACTATTTGAGCTGGAGGTCGGGCATTCCAAAGAAACTCCCTACCAATCTAACTTGCCAAACAAAAACAAAAATGCAATTAATATTATTATAGGAGATGTAGGCTGTAGTCGACATCCCGTTGTGATATGCACGCACTTCGGAGCAGAAGAAAGTGCACGCCTTATGGCTAGACCTCCTAAAGTCAGTAGCGGGTCCAAAGAACGCAATCATTACGGCACGCTGAAGTGGCTCGTCGCGGACGAAGCACGGATAATGCACCGGATCCAAATCAACAGCAGCAGCAAAAATGGTGCTAAAATTTTAAGAATCGTGCTTAGAAGGCGGCACAGAAAGGACAATGATGCCACAACGCCAGTGAATTACGTGAGCACCGAGCTACCTTCACCGTGGCGCACGCTACGTGGTAGCACAATTTCGCTCCCATTTTGTTTTGTGTGCCAGAAGTCCAAACGATTGTGCAAACTCCCGACAAAGTGCTCGTGAGCACGATTCTATTGTAAAAAAATGTAAATGAGCCAATGAATGGAGTGTGAGGGATCTGTTCGCAAAGGTGCCCTTTAGCGGTGCATTCCTAATGCTCGTATATCGCGAGTCTAGATCTCCTGGGCAAGAAGCGAGAAAAATGTTTTATTCCAGTGCACAGGGAGAAAACCAGAAAATAACTGTCTCATTGATGCCGTCCCTGGCGAATTGCCAAAGTCATGCTTGGACCTGCTTTGAGTTGTCCATCTTGAAGAGGACTTAAATTTTTGCTCCATCCAACTGCAAGTAGCAACGTCAACCAAGACGGTACATTTCCTTTTTTGTTTTCTGTCTGTCAATAGGAGTAACAGGTTTTTCTTTTCCAGCATTGTTTCCAGAACACTTAGTGAATTTGGTCACGATCAATGCACCACCTAAGGAAACCTCCGTGAAAATTTTCATTCCACTCCTCATTGGCTTATTTACAGTTTTTTATGGAATAGTGTACACATTTAAAAGTCCAAATTTTATGCAGTGCGGACTATGCGAGGGATTAGCCTTTTTCTAGGTCGTTCATTATGACGAGACATGAGAAATTTTTGTGAATGACAGCTTGCTAAGGACGATTTATGTAAGATACGTGCTTCTTTGAGATCTAATAAAGCAGGCGTTCATCAATGTGTGCTGAGTACAAAACTTCTCACATTTGGACTACGCACCAAGTGTGGACTATAGTCCGGAAGACATGGTACATGTTGTTTTTTCTACGATGGACTAGCCCTCGCTAACAACTTGTACGTGCAGGTTTTGCAAGGCGCATCGAGCGAACGCACCATGTTCAGGTGGTGGGGAGTGAGCAGCAGGCCAATGACCTCCTGCACGTTGGATTCACCCTCGACGTGGCTCTCTTCGACGGTGTCCTCTCCGTTCTCTTCATCATCCATCGTGGAATGCTGCAGCTGCCAACAAAGAGTTCATAAAGTTCATCCAGAACGAAAGGGGTGCCATTGTAGATCAGTTACCCAGGCTTTTGGGGCAGGATAAGGTCACCCAATCCTGAGAAAGTAGCACCATTATCTGCCCTGCCTCCCAGCAAAACACAAACCAACATACAGACACCAAAACATTGCGATGCATATGGAGGACGGAAGACTGCTGTCATGGCAATTGCTGTTTCAGAGATGATTCGAAGCGGGGGTTCTCAAACCGGGTTCCTAAGAACGCAAGACTTCCCAAAACTCCCAAATTTCCTCGACCGTCCCCAAGTGAAGCGTACTTCCAGTTTAAGCACTGTTTTGGTGTGTCCGATCCATCCGTCGATGATAACAATGAGCCAGACTCTAGCATGTGCAGTGCTGTTTACAAGGTCTGTAAGCTTCTGCACTGCTTCGTGCATCGGTGCTGAGACTGGGACACACTTCTCGGCCGTCAAAACACAAGCATAGGGGTTAAAAATCTTGAGAACTGCCGCTTTGAAGCTTCAAGGGGGCCATTCTGAACTAGAGTAACTGTACATGCTCCGCTTGCAAAGCAGAGTATCGCGATGGTCTCAAATTTTTTGCTTGCAGTATCGTGGGGAAGCGAACATAGTTATTGCAGGAGACACGACGGGTGTGACGACACGAGAGGCAGTTCACCATGCACATGCCATTGTGCGTCTTTTAGGTCCCTTGGAAGCACACGCGCACGTAGCGTTGTCCGCAATTGTGTCATTTTGTTTCAAGGTGACCGCTTTGAAGCCAGTTTTAGTGTTAAGCATTGGCATTGGCAGTTTTAGTGTTAAAAAATTAAATGCAGTCTGGGGAAAAAAATTACGAAGCAGCAAGCGCAAACGAGTGCTCCGAGCCGCTTAAATATGGAGCCAAAATCTGCACTCGCTGGCCATTTGCCTTTGTGGAAGAGACAAAATTGTGTTTTTTTTTTGTTTTTTTTTCTAAATAACTTTCTTGCTTTCAGGAAGTAAGTTACTCGAGCTGCCACCAGTCTGCGCGCCCTCCACGCGCCTTCCAGGCCACCATAGCCAACCTCCAGTTTCTCGCCGCTGTTCCGCGTTGTGTGCTGCATTGGCTACCACCGGAGCTTTGTTTTTGTGTTCTTTTTGTGTTCTGCACTAAAATCTTATGTTTTCTTTAGGTCTTATCAATATTTCGGGCTTTCATTTAATAATTTGATGTCTATATTTCAATATAACTCTTCTTTTCTCTTTTATGAAACGGGATTGGACAGTGAATGGACCGACAATACAAGATTATGGCCTAGGCTTCAGAGACCATGTAAGTTTATCATATTCTTTCGTTTTAGTCGCTAATAAAGGGCAGTTAACACCATTGTGACATATGGAAATTTCAACTGACGCAGTAAGGCATCGCAGTCGTGCTTCTCGCTGCATGCGCGCACTTTAGACATTGTTCCCGGAAGTAAAAGCCGAACCGCACGTGCAGGCGGTTTAGCGAGCAACGAGACGAGCGACGGCGACAACGAGATTCAGCGACAAAGACTTCTCACCGTCGCCCGTCGAGTCGCTTGGTTTTTGGATTCTTAGAAAACGTCGCTCACTGTCTTAGTCACTTGCTCCCGTCACTTTTACGTAGTTTGCCTCGTCACGCGATTGACCGAGCGAAAGCAAAGCGCATCGTTGTCGCTTGTCTCGTCGCTCGCTAAATCACTTACATGCGGTTTATACTTAACTAATTTTGATACACACAGAACTGAACCATTGGCACCTCGATATTAAGTATAAAACACAAGCAAGCGATTTGGCGAGCAACGAGACAAGCGACAGCGACGCGCTTTGCTGTCGTTTGGTCAGTTGCGCGACGAGGCAAACTGCATGGAAGCGACGGGAGCAAGTGACCAAGACAGTGAGTGACATTTTCTAGAAATCCAAAAACTGAGCAATGCAAGGGGCGACAGTGAGAAACTTTCTTCGCTTGTCGCTGATTTTCGTCGTCGTCGCTCGTCTCGTCGCTTGCTAAAGCGCTTGCCATGCGATTCCGCTTTTACTTACGAAAACAATGTCTAAAGCGCATATATGCCGCAATGGTGTTGACTGCCCTTTATTAGCGACAAATACTAAAGAATGTCATGAACTTACATGGTCTCTGATGCCTAGGCCATAATCTTGTATCGTCGATCAATCCGCTGTCCGATTCCATTCATAAATAAGAAAATACAAGAGCTATGTTGAAATATAGATATCAAATTATCAAATGAAAACCCAAAACATCGAAAAGACCTCAAGAAAACACTACATTTCAAGGCGGAACGTAAAAGAACAACGAAAACAAAACTCCGGTGGTGGCCGGTGCAGCACACAACGCGAAGTAACGGCGAGAAGCTGAAGGTCGGCTATGGCGGCAGAGTCACATGACGTTGCTTGAAAGGGGCCATAGTCCTTCGCAACTGAAGAAAGTAGGGCGAGAGAAAGGAACGCCGGGGAGAAGGAAGTGGGCAGAATGCTCGAGAGAGAAGGTTTCCCCCTCTCCAGCGTTCCATCTGCTTCCTCCTCCCCAACCTTTATCTCCCTCACCCTACCCTCTTGAGTTGCAACAGACTATAAGAAACTTCTTATCTGATTACACTAACACCTTTACAGCTTATAGTAAAATACCTTGCTAACAGTTAAAACCTAAATGTTTCAAGAATCCACTATATTATAATGTAGAAAAATTAATTATAATGCAATTAAATGCAAAGGTGCAAGCGAGCTGGAGAAGGGGAACAAGAGGGACAAAGGACAAGCACGACTAGGTGACTGGTGCGCGACCGAAAAAATCTGCCTGGTCTGGGTATCGAATCCGGGACCTCTCCATTACAGGTGAAGCGCTCTACCAACTGAGCTAATCAGGGGTTAGACGTCAGTAGAGCAAACGGGTTTTATCAGCTCCCACCAGTCTAACACCAACAAGGGTGAAGCTTGCAATTTAGGGTTATAATTATAATGCAATTAAATGCAAAGGTGCAAGCGAGCTGGACAAGAATGACGAAAGAAATAACTGGAAAAGGGGAACAAGAGGGACAAAGGCAGGGTGTTGGAACGAAATGTTTTTCGTTCCGTTTTCATTTTCGTTCCATACAAAAAAGTTCCGTTCCGTTTCCGCTCCGGAACGAAAAAATAATGCTCCGTAACGGTTCGTAACGGTTTCTTTCTATAAAAAAAAAATCGCAACAAAAATTAAAAGGAACGTAACGTTTATTTTTACAAAAAAATAGATAATTCAGGCGCTCCAGAGGAATCCGCGGAAACGACATTGCTTCTGAGATCATGTTCATTGCCTTGAGAATGAGATCATGATCAAGGCACCGAGCATGATCTCAGAAGCAGCACGTCATCAAGTGTGCTCGGTGAAAGGCAGGACCTCTGGTCCGATAAAATAAATTTTATCGCCGAAAAGGCCCTGAAGGCCCATAGGGATGAAGAAGTACACTTTTGCAACAGAGTCTCAGACTGCCGTATCCGTAGAAAAACAAAAGATGGACTTCTACAACGCCGGGTCACAAACTTCCCGCGCTTGCCGTGATCTGTTGTCTGTCTGTGTCGTCCGAAGAAAGCATGGAGGGAGAGGGCGCAAGAGCCAAGGAGAGCATTGCGAGCGTGTGGAGGCGTCGCGCCACCGCGCTCTCATTGGTGGGAAGCAATGGCGCCTTGCCTCATGTTTTTGTTTCTCGTATTTTTTGTCTTTGTTTTTGCTATGCTTGTTCGCCCGGAGTTTAGACGCGGGGGCGATGGCTTGCTTGTCTTCTCTTTAATTATGGTACAAACCAACGGCAGTCTTTTCGCTGCGTGAAACGAATTACTGAAATACCTGATACTTTCCCTTGAACCGAAAACCGATAAGAAAATTTTTCGCTTTCACTCCGGAACAAAATAATAAATAACGTTTCGATTACGTTTCCGTTCCGCCAAAAAATATCGTTTTTTTCGTTTTTCGTTTTTGGTTTTCGTTTTGTTCCGATACCCTGGACAAAGGACAAACACAAATCTCCAGCAGACAAAGCGCAACACAAATCTCCAAAGGACAAACACAAATCTCCAGCTCGCTTGCACCTTTGCATTTAATTGCATTATAATTATAACTTTAAATTGCAAGCTTCAGCCTTGTTGGTGTTAGACTGGTGGCAGGTGATAGAAACCCGTTAGCTCTACCGACGTCTAACCCCTGATTAGCTCAGTTGGTTGAGCACTCCAGCTGTAAAGGAGAGGTCCCAGGTTCGATACCCAGACTAGGCGGATTTTTTTTGGTCGCGCACCAGTCACCTAGCTGTGTTTAGAGATTTGTGTTTGTCCTTCGTCCCTCTTGTTCCCCTTCTCCAGGAATTACTTTGGCCAAAAAATTAAAAAGTTTCGCCTCTTGTAGCTTATGATAAGAACAAGCAATTTCTTTTTGTTGCATGCTTCATGTTCAAACTTATCTTAAGTTCAGTTTCAAGTCAGTAACTTGTGGAAGATAAGTGCCAAATTATTTGACCATCCTATATTTTGTTACTGACAAAAGGCACATTAAAACTGAAACTCAGCTCAAGATTTGACACTCCGTTACTAAAAATATAAAAGAAAGGCTTAAGCAAAAAGCAACAGAAAGTTAACCCGAAATATGATACAAAAAATTTCGCATTAAAATATGCGGCAGTTTTTGAAATACCAAATTAAAATGAAGACGACCATCCATTCCCCCTTAAAGGGGTACTGCAACGAAATTCTAGTGCTTATTTTATTGTCTAAATGTCAACCATGCTCTGGCCACACCACAGAGGCACCAATTCTTTTGCTCGAAAAAACACCAAAACCTTATTTAAAAAAGACGAATAAATCGAACGTCGCCACGTCGAAGCGGCCGTGCCGCTCCGCAAAAGTATGATGGCAAGCTGCGTGCGTGCGAGCCCCTCGGCGGGCCCGTGAAAATCAGCGTCGGGCCGGATCGGGCCGGCTGTCGGCAATGGATAGTCGGACGCAGGCAAGCCCGAGAGACAGTGGGCCGGGATAGGCCGCGCCCTAAATATCTGCCTGTGCAGACCTCTACCTTGTATCACTCCCTGGGCCCTGAGGGTATTGAAATAAATAAAAAAAGAAATTGTAGCAATTTGGCTGATGCATGTGAATGCGGCAGGCCCTGTGTTGTTGGTGTTGCGGCACCGAGACAGCGGGTGAAATTGCCGCCTATGAAGAGAACCTTATGTGCTTTATTGGGGTTTTCTTTTTCCCCGATACCATTTGGCATTTTTTGGTACCGGAGAACAAACTGGTGTTGATCGGAGCGCAGTGGCGTAGGCGGAAGGGGGTGGGTGGGTTCAAACTTTCTTCCGCCCCCTCAAAATGCCAAACCTCTCCTGCTTCGTCATTAGGGGGGGGTATTGATGACATTGAACCCCTCCCCCCAATAAAATCCTGGCTACGCCACTGTCGGAGTTTTTGGCGAAAGAACCACACCCGAGATTCCCCACCATCCAGGGAAAACACATGCAACCCGAACATGAGGAAAACATCCCGGTGCCCATAAGACGAGATAAAGGAGTGCCTCCGCAAGAGAGCAGAGGCCTCACAGAAAACCCAGTGCATTCAGGAGCAACACGAGGCTGTTGACGAAGACTTCTTTCCGTGGACCTTTCCCATTCAAAGACAGCTCCAATTCACCAGATTTGTCCACTACCAATCGGGCATTACGCCAACCTCTTTCCCCATTCATGGCGACCCATACCTGAAGTGACGGGCAGTGCGCTGATATGGGAAGCGACGCCGCACTACTGCTTCGTCTCGCCGCGCAATCAACGGAGAAATAAAAAACCTTGCTAAGTAAATATACAAATTGCATTTCTTTTTCTTGAATCTCGAGGTATCCCGGCAAATCTCTGAATTATCAAGGCGTGTTACCAGGAACACAGGAGTGACGAAATGGCAGGGCCTGTGTCACCTGCTTCTATACTCCATCTCACAAACATCAGACAAAGGCTTGGGCACGAGCGCGCGGCTCTGGAAAGTGCCCGCTATGCAGGAGTTCTCGTACAAACGAAAACATTCTGTTCAGCTAGGCTTACGCACCTGCGCCTTTACTGCAGACGTTTGTGAGATGGGGAACAGATTTCTTTCGAAAGTCTGCCCTCTGTTGGAAGCCGAAGAATGGCAGACATGAGCGCGAGCTTCTTGCGTTGGATCGCACCTCGGCTGCACAAGCTTTCATGCAGTGGGAGCACAAGTGAAAGCTACCCGCTCGCGCTGTTTGCACGTTCCTGGGAGTCGGTTCTTGCACTATCGTGAGTGAGTCAGTTCTTGTGCCAATCGGAGCGCAACTGTCGGAAGTGGTCTATACTGTGGGCTCTGTCAAATCCTCGATACATGAAGTTCCCTATTACTGTGTTTATACCTGATTAAGGCTGCTTCACACATATGTGTCAGTCAAGTCCACAGCAACCGAAAATAAAAGCAATAAGGAAGAAACCGGGAAGACTATGGTTCCCAATTCTTCCACGAGGCTACTTCTTGGATTGCTTTTCATGCTGTGTGTGGCAAAATAATTTTCCCGGTCACTAAGTTCTTGGTGTCGTTTCGGTCATTCTGAACGCAACCAACGCAACTTTATGAACCAGGCTCCCTAATATAAATAATTTTGAGTACCTAGCGCGCTCCACCAGGAAAGCAACATCTTAAGAACTAGCATGAAGATGGCCATGCAGCTGGAGTAGGGATGGTGGGGAAGCCCCAAAGGTGGCGCACAGGATCGATAGTTTGCACGGCTGCGAAGAGATGGTGCTAATAACGAATAAGGTATATTTTGGTGGTTTCGGTTTCCCCAATATCGACAAAAACCAGCTTGCGATCTGTTGTCGAGGCAGTGTGCCTCGATTCATTTTCTGTATGGATTATCTGTTCCAAACTATAAACCAGAAAAGAGGATGAGAGAGATGAACAAGGCACGACGCACACCGGAAAGCGATTTACAGTGTGTGTCATGGCCGCAAATGTGGGAAAAAGCGTTTGAAAGAAAGTAATCTTAAGAAGAAAGATGTTCCGACAAGGGCTTGCATTGCAGGAGGTTTAGATGCATAATGACACTCGGTTCAGTTGAGATGGATCGATGTCCAGGCGGTATTTCGGGATATAGCAACAGGCTGAAATGC